TGAGCAGGCAGCAGGGACACTGGGAAGGAGTGTTCCTTGGCACAGGCAAAATGGGCAGCTGCCTGGGCAGCTAGTTTGGCCATGACCCCCGCCCCCCCAATCTGACAGTGTTATGTTAATTGTTGGGCTCAATGATCTTAAGGGTCTCTTCCAAACTAAATGATTCTATGATTCTATCTACTTTAGTCCTTGCTGGTGAAATGCTTTGTCCTGGCTCCAGAGCTGGGTTAATTTTGTTCATGGCTGTGCTGTGGGAAAGTTGTTCATCTCTTGCTACCTTAATTTCTCTTAGTGTCTCTGTCTACAGTGACACATTTGTTTAAAAGTGCTTTGACATCCATGTATCAAAGTCACAAACATCAGCTAAAGGAAACATGGCTCATGATTGGGAAATTGCTAAGCATGTGCCTGAATAATCAAGTGCTTCAAAGCTTCACAAGCAGATCCCAGAAAACAAAAGCATTTGCATTCACTAGTCTCTGTTCCCTGGATAGGACAGGACAAAAATAAAGCTTTTCCTTTATGAAGTGTTGTGTGAAAAGCATGGTTGTCTTTGTGTCACAGTCCACTTTGCAGCATGCAAAAAGATTGCCTTTCTTCAAGAGTTTGTGAATTTTTATTTTACTGTAGTCTCTTTATTTCCTCCATCAAAACATGTCTGAGTTTGAAATGGCATGACTAGGAATGAAAATTAAATACATCAAAACTGATTTTTGTAGAAATGAGATTTTGGAGCAACCAGGGAATGTTCAAGGCTTTCTCACTGCTTGTGTTCAGTTTTTTTGCTAAAGAGGGATGTAGTCTGAGGAAATGGGTCACCTTTTTTCCTAGAGAAAATTTCTTCAATTTTGTTGTAATTCTGAAATGTCACAGGCTTTTTGGACAGGTTTTTTTAAATATTGAACAAAGAACAAATATCTCTGATAATGGATGGCTTGATTTTTTGCTGCAGCTATACTCTGCAGCCTAATTTTTTAGCCCTTCACCTCTCGCCTTATGCTTTTTGCAAGTAATTTCGGGCCCAGGTACCATCTGAATCCTATGCTGAGAGGGGACGGTCTCTGCATATAGCCACTGTCTATATCCTTGCTTGCTGGGTATCACTGTTACAATAGCAGCCCTTGGCAAGTGGCCTGAATGTAACAGCACAGCTTGAAAACCAAAGGGATGTTGAGCCAGCTCTTTGGGTAAAGGCACAGAAATAGGTCTCTGGAGGAATCGCCATTTTCTCCTAAACCAACTTGGAGGAAATAAGGTCACAACACCATAGGAATAAAGTAGCAAGGATCGGGGGGGGGGGGAAGTGTTTTATTTTACAACAACAAAACAGATTTTGTTCATTGGCACTCTCATACCTCCTCCATGTACTCGCAAACGCTTTCTGCAAGATCCCTTGCAATGGCATGGGTAACGAAGGATGCCAGTCCTCACCAGGCTGGTGACCGTGTGTCGGATCTTTAGGAGCAGACAGCCATTGGTCTCTCTGTCCTCTTGCATCTCTGCAAGTCATGGTTTCCCAACTTATTGTTTGCCTGGAGTATGCCCTTCTATCTGAAGGGCATTCCGTGTCAGGGAAGGGTATGGACCCCTTTCACTTCACTTAACCTGGTCAAAAGCCCCTCAACTGGCCTGCAGCAAGAGATCCCTGATGTAAACAGGTGGTTTTGCCAACTGTCTGCCTGTAGGAATCCAGGCTGCCCACCAGCACCTGCCTTACGTGATCGTTAGTGACTCCATCAGCTGAGAATGACTCAGGGGTGAGGGGGTGGGCGAGAGGAGACAGCTCTCCCCTCACTGCCTGCTCTTGCTGAGACCACAAGCATGGTAGCTGTGGCTGGGGGCTTGGCCAGGACTGCTCTGAGGGCCCAGCTGGGTGTAGGAGGCAGGAGGGGCTTTGTATTTAAACATCACTTTTTTTTTTTTTCCTCCTGATATGGTGAATTTGAGCCTTTGCCAAGTGAGTAGCACAACTGACCGAAGGGGGGTGATGGCTCAATTTTCTAACAACAGTTCAAGTTTTGAAACATGGTTGCATGCTGTGTTGGAGAAAATTTTGTGCATTTTGAGAAAAAGGGCAATCAAGGCTAAATTTCCAATACTTACTTTCCCAGTATTGACAGATGCTGTGCTTAAGTTGCCAGTAGTGCAGTAGCCAGGTACCCCAGCAGGTAGCATGAGAAATTAAGGTTCAAGCCCACATTTCTCACGATTTTTTCATCTGAGTTAAGTGTGAATCATGATAAGTAAAGAGCAAAGCTTGGGGCTGTGGTGTCACAAGCTGAGGTTATCAGCTTGCTACTGCTAAAATTAGGAAAAAAAAACCCCAAACCTGTAGTCCACACACCTATATCTTCAGGAAATGAAGCAAGTACAATTAAATGAAATTACTTGTTCCAAATTGTGTTCTTTCTACAGCCCTTGATTCATGCTGTTGTGCTTATATGAACACTGGTAGGCATTTGTGACCCAGTCTAGATGGTGAATTTTGTGGTAAGGCAGGCCAGCTTGCCGAGGGGCTCCATGGGGTATGCTCACCATGAATTAGTGTGGGCCAGTC